AATATGGATTTGGCAGGAGCGGCAAGGACGACGTTTTCGCGAAGTTTAGTAGAGGGACAAGCGGGCACTGTTGCTATGTGCAGTTTTGCAGGGGCGCATTGGCGGGCTGCATACAAATTATGCAAATGCGAAATTGTGGCTTCATTTTTCTTGCGTGATCTCTAAAACCGTCTCCGTGTTGGTTTTTGGACAGGTGTTTTCAAAATCAATACACGAACGCTAAATTTAAAGCAAATCGAAAAAAAATGGAATCACAGTTGGCTGCAGTTTGTGAAACTCAAGCAAAGTAGTACTTTCTCACAATAACGTCATCAACTTTCTGGCGCGGATGACTATCTTAATTATGGTTGGTGGAATCGGGAAAATTTGAATACTTGAGTGCAACAAGTTTACCTATTTCGAAACAATATTATTTTAAAAACAATTTTCTTGGTGCTACAAATCATCACGTGGTAGAATTTCAACGCCTCTTATTTGTTTATCCATGTTTGAGGTAACTACTACAGACGATCGACCTCAAGAAACCATAAAACCCAACCAGACGGTTGGCAGCACTGAACGTGACTCCTGAAAAGTAAACTCATCGCGCAAAATGCAATAAACAGATGCATACACACATGCATGTAACTAACACATCATAACACACGGCGCTGTTGAACAAAATTCGCATGGTAACAGGAGCAGATGTCGAAAACGGATTCGCACTGCGATACACCCATCACTCGGCTACCCATTATTTAGTTGATTATTACTTCTCTCGTATAGCAACTTTCAGACCATTGATAATAAATTGTTTCTGCAGGCGGTTCTGCAGCGGATAATGGAAATTTTGGCGTTCGCTGGAACGGAAAAACAGGATGTCAAATGGTGTATGGAGTTCTCGAAGGATGTAGGGGTGTGTTGTATAAAAAAATAATTATGGAGGAGATACCCCCCGCAGTAATTCCGGCAAAACGAAGGGTGAGTTTTTTTGTGTTGTGGTAATCCTCGCCAGGCAACCGAACGGCCAAAAACGTCAGTATGGCTTCTGGTACGGTGACGTCACACACCATTTGGTTGGTATGGTTGACCGATTTTGCAACCAAAGAAATTTAATACTTGCAAAAATCACCAATACACAGACGTCAAAAATTTAACGGTCTAATGGGAAAAGTCATTTCAAAAAGGCAAAATCGAAGCGTACTTTTCACACGTTGGTCTGAAACTGAATTGTTACTTATTTTAACGTCGGCAACGTTTAATCAACGTTATTTCAACACCGCTTTTTTATTGGCTAAACAGCAATACATATATTTATTTCGATCGTTTTCATGGCTCAAGGAGATTTAGGCTATTTTTACTCTCGACTCTGTGGGTTAATATTGAAAAGCCATTCGAAAGCGTCTGTTTTATCAATCACTGCCAAAACGACTCTTAAAAACCACTGTTGATTTTAAAAATATCACTACTACTTTCATTCACTAAAGTTACAAGAAATGTTATCGCATTAGTTAAAAATCATGATTCCGCGTAAAAATTTCTGATGTTAGGATTTACCCAGAACTGATTACTTTTAAAACTACAAATCTTCAAACTGACGAAAGATTTGTTATATATATTCCGAATTCTTAGTTTTTTGATAATAATATAATAAATCTCTTTTAGAATTCATCTGAAATCATTATTACATCGGCGTACTTTTTGACCGTGACCCGCGTTTCCTGCCACGAGTACGAAAATCTAACGTCAAACCATAAAGGTATTTTTAAAACCAATTATTTTGTGCTTTTTTGGAAATTAGTACAAAAAAAGTGAATATCAGTCGGCGTCGTCCGATTACGCGATGCTCGTTCGACCTAAATTTTCTAATATTTTAAGAACCTGGTGAAAAACGTCTCCGACACTTGCTATGAACATCTCGCGTAAACAACGCCAAAACTAATGCACATTGTCGAAAAACGGCTCAGCAGCGAACGATTCGTCAACGAGAAAAATTGTATATGCTAAAGCTCCGCCAACATCATTTATCTGGATTTATCTATTTAAAAGTAACAAATGATCCGCGTTTCCTTGAACAACAGTAAGAGATCAAGAAATTCAGAAAGCTTACGGCGATTTTGCGCCAATCCGACTTTTCGAAGCAACCTTTTCAAGCAAATGGAATATGAGGAAAAAAAGAGATATTTCTAACGTCCCGACATTTCAACACACGCACGACTGCCAAATTAATATTTATATAAGTTGGAATAACACAAACCTTCCTTTATTTGTTTTCGTCACGTGACAGTCCATTTGCATTTTTGGGTCAAGTTCTTGTCGATTCGGAAAATTACAAAAGGTGCGACCCGATGCAAATTAAAACACGTCATTCCTCTATTTTGGGGGCACTCGAGACACGCGAAAGATGACGCAACCTCGAAGGAAACCCGAACTGCAGCAAGGACCGGAATAAAATCACTTGCGGCCCGAGGCGATGGCAATGCATACGCCGCAAAAACAGAAGATAATAAGGAAGTTCGGATCGAGCGCTGATTAATTAAAAAAAAAAGAAGTTAATTTTACGGCTTACGTCAGAACGCGGAGATATTACATTTGCTCCGACATAAATTGCAAAAAGATCTTTAAATCACTTCAATTAACATAAACATTTATCGCCGTTTTTGCACAGTTAGAGGTTGTTTTTTTTTCAGACTTAAAAAAATCTACATACTTTTCGACTTTGATAATTACTGGTAGTTATTCATAATCGGAGGTGAATCTGAGCCGTCATGGGATTTAACCACCGCACCCCCTTTTTTCCCACAATAACGACCCGAGTTTCTGGTGAGGCGTGTCCTTCGCATATTCGGTTTCGGTAAAAAAACCTTCACCTTGACTTACAACGCACAAAAGTTGTTTCCTATGTAAACTGATAAGATCCGTTTTTTATTTGCTTTCCTGCCCTCAGACAGCTTGTATCGCAGGATTTCCGGGCGTGGTGCAATGCCTGTACACAAAAAGTGCGTAAATAACGGAGGTCCGAGTGTGGGTCCCTGCATCGCGGCTTAATTAAATCATCTGTTGCTGGCGCTGGCGCCCTGCCATCCCAAGAAAAATCCCCCCATTGCACAATTCGACGAATATTAATCAAACTTTGGCTTTTTTAGCACTAACGAGGTCTTTGACGCACTTAAAACAAACGAGATAAGATAACAACAATCAATATATAGTAAACGTACCGTTATCTGTCAACTTTAATTTTTCTCGTTTGCAATTTTTTCGCGATAGGGATTATCTCGGCTCTTAAAAAACGTGATTCTGATTTGGAACATGACCCAACAAGTCCGACCGAGATCAAACGATTTTAGCGGGCTGTGTGCTAAAAGAGCAAACTGGTCAAAAACGACGAAACCTGGATTTGGCAGAATTGATGTTAAAAAAAAAATTGTAACAAAATCGGGATAAAAAATGTGAAGCGTTTGTCAAAATCAAATGCAATTTTCAAACTTTGTTTTCGACGACTGCCGGTAATTTTGTTGGTGTAAAAGTTGAATATTGGAATCAGGCACGTGTATGAAACGTAATCTATGAGTTAATAAAACGTGGGTGGCATGGTGATAAATTACCGAAAAATAAAAATACCAATTCGGTGACCAATCAAGCAAGTTGGAATGTCCTTGGTACTCAGTTCGCTTCTGAGCGGTCTGCATTTGAACGGTTAGTTCTCTGACAGCTTTGCTCCGAAACGGTTTTTATTAGTTTTCCGCATGACAGTTTGTCAAATGCACCTTTTGAAAACGTAACGTTTTGTCATCAACACTCCATCGATTTGAGAGAGAGTTTGAGTCTGAAAGTGTGCGATCTTCGCGCTCCCACTTGAACGAGTGCCTCTCGTTCCCTTTTTGTTGTTAATCTGGAGCGGGGGCGAAGGGAATCCTTACATAACTCAATATTCGAGTCAGTCTATGGATTTCAGGACTCAGTTGTCCGTAAAATCACTGCGAGAGCTTCAAATCCTAATTAAATTTCATTTCCGGAGCAGACGAGAATCCCCATCAACGCTCTACACGAGCGAGAACCTATACACAATCAATTTCCTTATTTCGCACAATTTTCAAATTAGTTCGACATTTATTCCGACAGAAAAATCCCCCGCAATTAAAACGCCGGGTGATTATCCCCCGCGCACCCTCTCGAGGCGCAGCATTCGTTAGCGAATTTTAATTTTTAAGGAGCGCCTCGAGGTTTCAGATAGGTCACGCTTCGCATCTCTTTATTTTTATTTTTCAAAAGCGACACAATTAAGTCGAGTGAAAAGCGAGACGGTCGAGATGCACCCTCGGAAATTGAAGGGGTTGCGGATGCACCATGCAAATTTCTCCCTACATACACCACTCAGGGGGGACGTGTCAAACGTGACTCCGGTTTTTCCGCTTTGCAAATAAAGGGCTCATTGTTGGGATTTCATTTTTATGGGGGCGCACGTCATGCGATCGGGGATGCAGATGTTCGCCACTCAATGACGCGCTTTCATTAACGCAGATATGGACGAGGTGTCGCGGATTTTGTTCCCGAGTAACAGCTCGCTTATTAATTGAGGTATCGACATGCGATAAGAGCTAAATGTAATGACAACTTGAACAGCTCAAAAGTGGAGTCAAAACGGTTATGGGGGTTACATTCGCTTAGATTCCAATTTGAACAGCTCGTTTGGTTTTTAACATGTTAAATTTCTGTAGAAATATCTGGATAGAGCACTAATTTCGATCGCGGTTGGGCGAACCCTCCCCGCGGTGCGTTATCAGAAATTGTCGATAACCTGATTTTGAGGCCCCCAGAGCGTTTACCCTTAAACTTAATTTGCAGCTGTATGGTCACATTTCCAGTGACAATCCGCCAACAAAAGAGGACGCTATTCGCACTTCTTTTTACTCTTTCCTTTTTAAGAGGATTATCAGTCTGGGAATTACGAGTTAAAATGAAAGAAAGTGTTAAGTTGGCGAAAATAAGGCTTCGACTATAGAAAAACTTGAACTACTTACATTAGGTACCGTGTAGCTGTTGTAGTCCTTCGGATTGATGGACTCGGTTTGCTTGTTTTTGAAAGCCCGGTAGTTTTCACGTAGCTGCTTTCCATACTGCAAACAAAAGAAGTGTTCATGAACGAAAATACAATTCGGGAACAGACAAGGTCACAAAGAACATCCAAGACGACTGTTTTTACAACTTTTTAAATGTGCTTTTGATGAGTCTCTATTTTAAGATGGACGTGTTTATGGTTGGCGAGGTTTTAAAACCGGCGACTAAAAAACGATTTCGTTGCAAGTGCATTTGCAATCACGAAAATTTCCAACCGTAAAAAATACAACGGAAACGATTTTCGAAATTACTATTGTGTCAATCAGCAGGACTAGCTCAAACACCATTCATTTAGAAGAGTTCATGCACCATCAGGTCTGAACAAAAACCGCCACTAAAAAGTCAGTCTTGCTATATCCTGCACGCTCGTACCGGTCCGGCAAGACCGTAAATTTAAAACTAACTTTAGGGCGAGCGCAACCTGTATAATACAAACGACATAAATTTACAGTTAACCCGACATTCGAAGATCACTACCACGGTTCTATTTTAACACGCATTAAAGACGACTTAAATAAAAATCACGTAAAATTCTGTCCGACTTACGGCGAAAAAACCACTTTGTCGGACGGTAATTACCACAAAACAGTTTCTATTTTCGTGCGATTTTAAAAAAATATGACAAACGAAAATTGGTGTCTGGGCCGCAGCCAAACTCTCATCCACAAGAATCAAAAATTGCGTCATACGCACAATACTGCCTAGTATGGCGTAACAGCAATAAATTTACCCTGCACGTGTCGCCACCACGCCGATTACTGCTCTTGGACAATCTGTCGTCGAGCAGGTTTGCTGCAATTATTATCAAAGAAAAAAGATAGTAAGTACCTTGGCAAGCCTCATGGCGGTCAGCCAACAGGACCGGACTCGCTCCGAATCACAAGATATACACTTCAGTTCTGGAGTTTCGTCTTCGGTGTCCACTCCTGAAGGCCTCAGGCAGATGCCCCACTCGGTGGGGGCACGGAACTGGTTCTTTGCGTTGAGCGTCGTGTAAACGTGGTAGCTGGACAGTTCGGCGAAGAAATTCAGACCGTTGATGTCCGACTCTGAGATCTGCAAGAGAAAGAAACCGATTACTACATACGATTTTTTTCTGGGCGAACTTGAACGCCAACCTTGACATTCGCTATCGTTGTAGATCGTGACAAGCGCAATTTTTTCGGAAATTACATAATGCGTGAGGTGGGAATGCGGCGAAGATCGGCGACGAGAAAATACGGGTACTCGAAATGGGCGCTTTTGGAAGGTCGATTTTTTTATTGACTACGATGAATAAATTTCGCATATCTCATTTTAGCGTGTTACATATACATATATGGTATGTGATTTTTTTTTTAATCGGTGCTAAAGTCGTAGATAAAATTTTGTTAGTTACACGTGGGCTAACGCATTATTATGCATGCTCGTGTGATTACACAACTCGGTTGACGCCTCGTTGTGAACAAACTACACATTTGTATGGTAATAATTATTTATCCTACTCCTAACGTAAACAATGAATAGATCACGTAATGTTGACCATTGAATTTTTCGCAAAAAATAATTAAATTCAAGAATTCGATAAAATTTGGAAAATTAATAAATTCAGAAAACGGCATTACGATGGTAAAGAAAATCCTGAAAAATTCTAAATTGTGAAACTCCTAGCACGTACCACATCAGTGAAAATTTTACTTACGATTAACTGACTGGTTGTCTATATGCAAGTTTAGCAAGTTTCCATGTAAAGTCTTTTATATTTTGCGTGGTAACGCTGATATTAACTACAATTTTTTTGTCAGTTGATCGATGAGTGCATCCGGTCATAATTTTTTTTGAAGCAATTTTCAAGAAAGTTGTCAATCAAGCCTCTTATGTGGGAACGTTGACTGATAAATATGCAAACAATTTGGAAGAAAACCAGATTGAGTACACGACAAAAATCAATGTGACCGTTAATTCAAAATTGTGACAAGTACTTTGTATTGTTCAAAAAATTTAATAACATTTCACTACGAAGACAACATGAGGAACATCTTCTGCGACCAAAAATAAGTTTTACGATTTCACGCGCCACTGCAGGCCATGTGTTTGCTCCTTTACAAACAATGTAACCTCAGTTTTAAAAGAGAATGGTGCTTTAAAAATTAGGAGGCGCAGTCATCAAACACATATCGTGCATTCAGGTGCGGACTTTCCAACAACAGAATCTTAAAATACATCTGGGAAAAAAAAGAACAAAAAATTGGCAAGCTACAAAACCAAAGGTACAAGTGTAAAAGTCTAAATTTAAAATGGCCAAATGTCTTATACCCTGAAATTACCACACCGGAGCCAAGTGAATTTTATTATCATAATAAGTTTTATTTTATATTGTTGTGTTGTTCAGATCTATAAAAATAAAATTCACTCGGGTCCTTCGCCGTTTTGTGCTTTAATGACATTCAGTTCAAATTAAATTATTAACAAACTGATTTATGCCAACAGTCTCGGCAGCCATGCACTTCCATCTCGGTTTAAATTAATAGAAGCGACCCGATATTTACTAGGAACACTTAATAACTCCTTACATACACAAATTAGTGCATCCTTTGAGAGACGCTCCACTTTCGACATCCAGCTTTTCCAAAACAAACACATCCACCGCTATTTGCTCATTTTTGATAAAATAAAATACCATCTGGGGAATTTCGCTACCTCGCGCTATTTTAATCGTTTGCAGAATGCTTCTCTTAGAACCACTATCTGATGGTATGTACACACTATAATACAGTTGCAGCGCGATAACGATAAGACTGCCACGCCGCTTCCGAGAAGATGGTCGTCGTCTCCTCGGCACAATTACGAATAATTGGTTTATCAAAACGGCTCCGAAATCCGAAAATAGAGTTTCACTTCCAGCGACCGTTCGATTTCCATAAACATCGCATAAAAGCATCTCTACGAGATGTTTTAATGAAATCGAAGTAGCAAAACCTGATCCTCGAATTTTTAATAGAACCGTACGATATCTCCTCCGTCTGGGCCGTGCTTCTTTATACAGAATGGGACTGCTTTGCTCTTAAAATATCACGCAAGATTTCAATAAAAATTCCCGTCCCAAAAAATTATTCAAAATTGAATAATTAAGACATTAAGATCAATCACTACGAAGGTCGTTCGTTCAAGTGCTCGTTGCTTAACTCCGTCAAGTAAGTAGATATGTCACTTCCGGAAAAATATGGAAGTAACATTGATATAATGAGTCTCCAGTAATGTGCATATGATTGGGGAAAAACGAGGCACCAATAAAAGACGACTTTCTATTGTTTTTAATTGGATATTAAATTATGCTATGCTCATGTGTCACGCGATATTGAGTCCTGATGTAATAACTTTGTAACAATAATGATTAAAAATTCAATTGTGTTCCAAAGACACAATTTAACGGCATCCAACTCAACACAAGTGTATCATGCCGTTCTGAAAAATGACAATGGTACAAAGTGACAGGTACTTTTAATTTCGAGAAAAAAACGGTGGATTAAAAGTTCCAAGTAAACGATTCAGCGACTCGAACAAACCGACGGAAGCGGGAAATTTACATCGCCGTATTCTGCGATCTGTGAACCATCAAGGAAACAAATTCGGCGTTCGTCAAATCACCCTCTGCTATCGCTCGCGACGCAGAAATGATTTTCCATCGGTGAGGAAACCTAAGAGAGCGTTGAACTTTCCCGAGGAAAGAGGGACATCGGTTGCCCAGCGAACGTGATGAAAATGTCGCAATATTCGTAATAATATGCAATAAATATGTAATTACGGACGCATTTACATTACAATGGTACACAATACGTTTTTACGCGGTTTCGACGGACAATGGACTTTTCAAATGGTCTAACTGTACTTCCACAAAACCGGACGAGAGACCGATCTGCATCCATAATAGCGGGTAATTAAGTTACCGGGCAATTACAATCGCGTTCGGGGAAAATCTGACGATCTGTCGGGCACAGCCGCGCCTACTGCAATTTTATCGATTCAATGGGCTCACGAATTTTTATTGTAACGCACAAAATGCCTGAAAATTAAGCGATTTCCTTCACGCTTCCTAGACAACTGAACATAAAACTATTGAAATCGTATATCTTGCAAAATTGCACCATTTTTAAATGATACATGGTTGAGTGTAAAAAAGCTGTAATTGGAAGCCGAGTTTTCCATTTCTTGACAGATGTTAAGAGTAAAATTAATTGCATTAATTAACCGAACTTTTGCGTCAAAGCTACAGCGCCCTAGCGTGTGTTTGCGCTTTCAAAGCAAACGGAGTTCTTTTCGCAAAACAGTAACCCAACTTTGTCTATACAGCGGAATTGTTTTACCTATTTGTAATGGGTTTTTCACAAAGGGATTACGAACACAGCGTAAAAGACGATTGCCGCTGCAAACTGAAACGATCAGTTTATTCATTTCGGTTTTCGGATCTCTAAACACACCAAAACATATTGGAAACATTTCTGCTACAAGAATTTTAAGCGTTACACATATCTGTTTCAGATGTTTATTTTTTTCGCCTCTGGGTGACTCATTTCAACAATCAAATTCAGACCTGCACAAAACATTAATTATCTTTCCAATTTCCCCGCACTATCCACCCATAAATTTTTATTACAACCCAGCACACACAATTACAATGAAATTTGCAACGAGCTATTACAAAACAATAATTATTGTAAAGTCATTTACTGCCTTCATAAAACTTTATGGAGAATTTTGCAATCCGTGATTTTGCCACCCCCGTGAAAAAAACTTCCATTAAAACGCCAGATAAGAGGAAAACTGGGTCCAGTGCTGTCCCGGAAACTTTTTTCCATCGTGGGTCAATTATCGTTTAAGTAATTTGTAAATGTGATATTATCGGTTTTATCTTATCTTATCGTTTAAGCCCGATTCGAAGGCAATGTCCTCTGAGTAATGGACATTTCGTAATTCCGACTTAATTAGTGGTTCGGTTCGTTTTAACGAATGATAAACACAAATCGAGGCTTGAAATTGAACAGTCCTTCCAGAAATAGTGCGTTTACTTTTAGAAACGGAAATTCGACTGATTGGGAGTAAATCTGCCCGGCAACAGCTCGATACGTCAGAAGTTTGACACCTCGGGAAAAAAAAAACGTTTTCCAAATTCGGAACCGTGTTTCGAAATTGATGGCTGTTGCTAGGTGCAATCAAAGCGTTTCTTCGATAACGTTACGTAACGTTAACAGTACTTTGTTTCGTGTGAAGCAATCTTTACATCCTGCGAGGGATAAAGACGGTAATTTGGACAAAATGTGACAGGCGCGCGTTATAAGATGCTCAGACAAGTCCATAAAAAATTGTAAAGGGGCGACTACACGAACCGGTGCCGGACGACTCCGGAAACTAATAGATATTGGAATTAAGAAGCGCTCATTAATCACCACCGTAATAACTTTTCTAATACACTTTTAGCAATTTATTATCCGTGACAGTTTTAAAAATGTCTCCAAGACGTATTACTTTCCAAACGTTAATGCAACCGTGCCTTAGGAACCATAAGACACATTTTTCGATTTCAGCAAGCACTTTGCGTAATTATTACGGAATCAAAATGCTAGCAGTGCAATAAATCGGCGACTAGTCTGAACTAATCGCAGACCATCAAAAACCCAAACGACTTCGTTTTAAAGCTAGAAATTATAAAACTTACCAATGATTGTTTTCGATTGTCAATATCGCAGACGTTAGATCACCCGATTTCATGAATGAGTCCACTACGACGACTTCAATGAAAATTTAAAGAAAGGCGGTTTTTGGGGTCCGGCGACACCATGATGCCAAAAATGGGTATTTTCTTTTTTCGGAAAATTATTGCAACTTGACAGTTGCCGGTACCTGGGACTTTCTACTCGGAAACAAACAACATTCCCTCTCGACTACCGGCATTCGACTGTTTCGACAGGCGGCTGCCGGTCTCTCAGAACCGGCTTACGAACAAAGGCCGAGGATCGTCGAACGGCACCGAACAGCTGACAGTCAGCTGATCTTTATAACTACCTGGTGAAATGAGAAAT